TTAAGGAAAAACATTACAGGGATTCAATATTTGAATGACTGTTTTGTGGAAGAAGGAACTGATTTGCTCTTAGTCTTAGAGGACAAAACGAGTTAGCAATGGACTGAAGTTTGAAAGAGGCAAATTTAGGCTTGCCATGAGGGAAAACTTCCTAACAGTATCTATCTCAAAATGGAATGTGGTATCTTGTGAATTAGTAGGACACACACACACATGCACATGCACACGTGTGTATACATATGCACATACACAATAAACACATGTGTACATATATGCACATGCATATACACATACATATCATGTGTGTGTGTCCCTGTATATGTACTGGTAAATGTTTAGTATATTGTTTTCTGCAGGGAAAAAAAACCAACACTGTACACAAGACAGATGTTTAAGATCAATCTGCATTATTAACATTTTTCCATCACTTTTTTAACTTTGGACGATCAACAAAATGAGAAAGTCTAGCATCTGCTGATTTCCAAGATTTAAATACTCACACTGGATATTGATCAATCAGTTCTCTGCAGTCAGTGGGGAGCTGGCTCCAGCACACCCCAATCCTTCCTCACTAGAGGTCTTCAGCAAAAGTCTGGTTGACCACTTGTCAAGAAGGTAGTTTGACATAGTGGAAAAAGGTGCTGGACTTGCAGGCAGGGAGGCCTGGTTCAAATCTGACCTCTGCCACTTAATAGCAAGCTATGTGAACTGACCACAGGCAAGTCACTGCAACCTCCAAAAGCTTCAGCTTCCTCATTTATGAAATTAGCAAAATAAAACTTGCAGTACTTATTTTGCAAGGTTTTTATAAGGCACAAATGAAAAAATACATGGAAAGCATTTTGAGAACCTTAAAAGCTATACATTTGAGAGAATTCTTTTTCAGCTAGAGTTTGGATGATACATCCCAAGCCCCTTCCTATCATCAGTAGTCTTCACAGTAGACTATGCTTTTTGAGGCTCCGCAGAGGTAGTGAAAGTTTTGGTTACAATAACTATGGCTCAATAACACCAAAAACTGCAGAATGGCTTGGCATTGTGATCACTTGTTCACCTTCCTAAATGCAGGTCATCTAATTCTGTCTCTGATTCCCTGTTCCACTGCCCTATCCATTTAACATTACCTCCCTTTTACTAGTTGTCATCAGACTTACAAAGTCAAATTCTCCTGATGTGATTATATTCCTAAACTAGAAACCTTAAAATATATGTTACATTGATAAGAAGGTATTTTTTAGGAATTTCTATTTGACTTCCTAATGCTCATTGGGTTCTTTTTATCTAAAGGCAGTTAGGTATCACAATCACAAAGCATTGGATTTAGAATCAGGAAAACCTGAGTTCAAATCTGATCTGGAACATTTACTAGCTGTGTGACCCTGGGCAAGTCATTTAACCTCTATATGTCTTGGATTCCTCATATATAGAATAGGGATAATAACAGCACCTATCTCCCAGGGTAGCTGTTTTGAGGATCAATGAGAATATTTGTAAAGCAGTTCTGAAAACTTAAAGCATGATAAAAATCCTAGCTATTATCTTTTTTTCTGATTCTCTGTCAGCCTCAATTAATCTTTTCTTTCTTTCTCTTGCTCTGCAACTTATTTCCCTGGTTTTCTATTTTATTACTTTAGGCTTAGTCTATGTCAAGCTCTTTACATATAATATTTTGCTTTTCAGGGGTAATAAGGTAAAAATCTGAAAATATTAACAGGCACAAAACAAACCCACCCCTCTTCCTAACTTCCCTATTTATACAGAAGATATGAGCATCCATCCAGTCCTCTAGGTTCTCAACGTAAGAGTTATTCTTGAATTTTCACTCTCCCTCACCCCATATGGCCAATCAGTTGATAAGTCTCATCAGTTCTACCTGAACATCTCTTATATCCATCCTTTTCTCTCCCCTCATATGATCAACATCACAATTCATCATCTCACCAACTCTCTTCTAGATCACTGAAGTGTTCTCATAATTGATCTTCCTGTCTCAACTCTTTCTCCTGGCCAAGTCATCCCAAACAAAATTAGCAAAGTGCTCTCCTTAAAGCATAAGTTTGACCAGGTCATTCCTGGTCAAGGGCAATGGATCCCTATTGCTTCTAGAACCAAATAGACAGTCCTTTGCTGGCAGTTAGAGCTCTTCACAACTTGGCTATAGTTTACCTTTCTAGTTCATTATACATCACTCTTCTTTATGTATTTTTCAGTCCTCTATTCCTCACAGAGGTACCCTATCTCTTCTGTCTGTGTCTTATACCAACTGACCCTCCTACCTAAAATGGATTTCCTCTTCTTCACCTCTTAGATTCTCAAGCTTTCTTTAAAGCTTAGGTGAAGTGTTGTTGTTGTTCAGTCATATTTGATTCTTGGTGACCCCAGACAGTACAATACATACATGGGGTTTTCTTGGCATTTTGGTAGCTTGCTTCCTTCTTCGGAGGATTGAGCCAAACAGAAGTTAAATGACTTGCCCAAGGCCACACAGCTAGTAAATGTCTGAGGCTAGATTTAAATTCAGGTCTTAATGACTCTAGGCCCAGCACTCTATCCACTGAACCATCTAGCTGCTTCATCAGCTCACCTAACAACTCCTAAATCAGTTCTTTCCTATTGCCCCCATTTGCTAATATCTGTTCCAGTGAAATTACTTTGCATTTACTTTGCCTGATAAGACCATTATGTATCTGGGTTCACCCTTGCCCTGGGCTGGACTAATTTTTACCTGAAAGTCAATAAAGCTTTTATTATGGAATTTGATTGATTCTGGCTGCTAAGGTTCAAATTGCACATCCCTTGAAGCAACTTCCTGATAGCCTCTGGTGGTATTAATTTAGCTTCTTGGTCACCTAAGAAGAAATACCAGCCACATAGTGTCAGACAGGTTAGCTTCTGTCTAAGCAAATCTCCTTTTGTTAACTGATGAGTGATTTACAAATACCTGATTTTGTTAAAATATCAGATCAACTAAAAAGGGACTGGTCTGAGGTCAGGCTCACCCTTCACACTTTGTATACATGCTGCATATATTTGTATTTATACATGTCTTCCCTGATAGAAAGTACCTTTAGGATAGGGATCCCTAGTATCTAGCACAATGCATGGGAAAAAGTAGGTGCTTTAATAAATATCCTTAATTGTTGTGAATTAATGTTCTTCTTTGCATTGACATAATGAGACAACACTTTCTAGCAATAAATCTGAGTCCAAAAACACTCTGAAAAAAGAACAAAATTTCCGTTCCATCTCTGCCCGGAGAACCTAAGCCTGCTGTTCTAGGGAAGATAAAGCTGAATTCTTATCCAGTTTAATTATCTAAATTTAGCTTGTCTGTCACAGAAACAATTACAGAAACATCATGTTTTGTATAAGCAATAATGTCATCCACCATAAGATAATAGTTACTGTAGGATGGAAACTTTAGCCACAATTGTATAGTAGCTAGAGTTTGGCCTCCCTCAGAATGGGGTCTGACTTTTTTGGGACTGGAGGTAAAGAGAGAGAAAAAGAAAGATACAAGAGAGAAATATCAGCACCTTACACTGGAAAAAAGTTTGTTTCAGCTGTAACTGGCTTTCTCTCCTAATTCCATTCAAGTCTATATTTTCAATTTGTTTCTCTCTGGGACTATCAAAAACACAGTACCAGATCAAATAAAGAAAACCTATTAAATTGGACAGCAAGCAAGATATGGACTGATTTCAACTTTGACTTCTAATAAGCTCAAAGTATTTTTCTAGACTCATACATATTTTATTCTTCCCTGAAGAGTTTCCATGTGTAAAGTCAAAGGGGTCACGAACCATTTCTCTTAAAACCAAAAATTCAAAAGCTGTTTTTTTCCCCTTCATAGAACTCAAGACATCTGAATTTGCCTTAAAAATCAACAAACATTATTATTAATGGTCTGAGAGAAAGCAAAGAAAAATATAACATAGGTGGATGAATGTTTAGAGAATTTTAAGTAAGTGAAAACAAGTGATTGTAGCAACATTTTCCTTCCAACTGTAAATGAAGTAGTTGGTATTCAAAACAATCCATCAGCTGCAAGATAAAAATATTTTTTTTTGCTTATTAAAGTCTCATGGAGCCATTAACAATTCTTTGTATGTTGCTTTTATAAACTGACGTATAGATACTTGCATGTATGTTCCATATGCATATGCCTGTTTATGTGTATATAAACATAAGTATACATATACAGGTATATATACCCCAGGTATGTAGTACATACATACATACATCTACATATATATGTGTGTGTATGTATATACACACAATTTTGGTATTACAAGAGGCAGTATGTGATAATGAATAGAATGCTAAATTAGAGTTAGAAAGAGGTTTAAATCTTGCTTCTGACAGTTACCATATATATATAAAAGCAAGTCACTTAAGCTCTGGGATTCTTGAACTAGTAACTCTAAGACTTACCTACTAAGCTTCCGATGAGAGAGATACCATACCCTGGAATCAACTGATCAATAAGAATTTATTATGTATGCAAAGATGAAAAAAAGGAATAGTCCCTGCCCTTGAGGAATTTAGATTACTGAGTGGAGAAGGCAAAGGGTGGGTGGGTGGAAGGAATAATGATTTATATGTGTGGCTTAATTATTTTTATTATTTTATACTCATAACAAAAAAAATTATAGTAAAGAAATTTCAAATCTATAATGTCTATAAACTATTCTCATGAGAGCACAACTGATTTTTTGGGGGGAAAGAACCAGCATGATGAAATACCATTATAGCAAAAAGCTAGGTATAACAAAAGATATCCAAGTAAATGACCTAATCATTTTAAGTAATAATCAATAAACCCAATTCTACAAAGCCACACAATAATGTATATAGTCTCTAGGGTTTCTAGAATGAGATATGACCAGCATTTAAAGGATCTTTTAAGTACAACCAGCAAAATACCTTTTTTATTAAAGATTACCTTCACCTTTAGTTATAAAGGACAGAAGGTATTATTTAGAATAAATTCCACTTACCATAAATTCCTGTGGAAATGCAGGGGAATGCCTGTGGATTAAGAAAAAAAGTGAATGTTAAAAGAATACAACTTTGTACAAAACCATATATTTGAGAAGTCTTAGAACAGTACTTGAAGTATGATAGGTAAGTTATAAATGCTTATTATCATTATTAATGTTATTAATATTACCACTACTACTTGACAATAGGAGATGGTGTATTCAGATAAACTAGATTTGAGGTGATCTATCAATAGGATATTTTGGTTAACAAAGATCTCTATTTAATCAGAAAAGAACTTTGGAAGCCACTAAGAATAAACTTAAACTAATAAGAATTATTAAATTATATTTAAATTTAAATAATATAAATTAAACAAAATAAAAAATCTTGCAGGTGTTAAATAATAGTGTATAATTAGCAATTTGTTAGTTATATACCTAATGTGGAAATATTAACAACTCACCAATGAAGAAGCTAACCAGGAAACTCTTTTGCTACTTGAGTTCATTGAAACAAAACAATTGTTCCTCTTATAGAGCAATCTCTATAATAAAGACTCCTCTAAGAAATGGGCTATGGTTTCATTGCAAGAGAGAGAGAGCAGAATTGTTCTGTTCCTTACAAGGTGTCTCCAGAGGGGAAGGGGCAGAAAAAAAGTACAACAGACAAGAGGAAGATTAGGGTGCACTTTAGGCACTAGAGGAAGGAGCCAAATTCTCACTCCTATCATATACCAGTGCAGCAGAGCAGTTAGAATGCTCAACTTGCAATCAAGAAGGACTGAGAGTAGCAGTATGACCCTGGACAAGCAAATCATTTAACTTCTGTGAGGCTCAGTGAATATGAGGATGATAATATCTCTAGTATCTAACTACCTCACAGGGTCATTGTTGTGAGGTTCAAATGCATATTTCATAATTTTTACAATGCTTCATAAGAATTAATTATTATTATTAGGCCAAAATTTCCCCAACTGGGCAAAACATGGTGATGGTGTCTAGATCTTCACAGTAGACTTGTCTTAGAGTTAGAAGCCTTTCGAATCAAGTAGAAGACAAACACAAAGAAAAGGTCTGACTCCTACCTTGAGAAGAACAGCTGTTAGAGAGATAAAACTAAGAAAAGCAGTTAAGTGAATTCATTAGATGGGCTGCTCCCTATAGCACAGACGGAAACTTCAGCAATGAGGAAGACCTTGGAGGAAAACAGCTCAGAGTTTGGAGTGAGCTGTTAACAGCTACCAGAACCTTTCAGGATTAAGGGAAGAGTAAGCGGAAGCTAGGGGTCCTGAATTAAGACAAGTAGCAAGTTGGTAATATGAGGATGGGGAAGGCAGTGTTTTGAAGTAGAAGTGGGAGAGAAAATAAAAGTTTGTTAATCAAAACAATATCCTTAAAAGGGTCATGCAGCCAGAAGCTAGGAGTGACAGAATTTACAGGCTATGTGACCCTGGGCAAGTCATTAACCTTTCTTTGCCTCAGTTTCCTCAACTGTAAAATGAGACTAACTGCACTTATCTCTCAGGTGTGAGGATCAAATCAGATAGTATTTGGAAAACACACTTAGCACAGTGCCTGGCACACAGTAGGTGTTTATATGTATGTATTTATATACACATATGTATGTATATATACATATATACACATATACACAGTTTATATATACACACACATGTATATATGTGTATATGTGTTTATATGTATATATACATACATATGTGTATATAAATACATACATATAAACATACATATATATATATATATATATAATTTCCTTCCCCTTCTTCCTGCCTTCCCTTCACAGTTTCTAACAAAAGGAAATAATATTATCAGTTCTAGAACATGCATAAACTAAAAAGAACTAGCAAAAGTCTAATATGGTTATAAGAAGGTTAATGGGGCACCTCAAAATGATGAAAAAGTGATTTTTCTTTACAGCTTTGATTTGGATTGACACTATATCTTTTTTTTTTCCTGAGAAGCCAGAGTCAAAGGAAAAGTGCTAGTTGGGCTTATGTCTTAGCTCAGTTAGTTAATACACCTGTATTACCTTGAACAAGTTATTTAATTTCTCTGAACCTCTATTTTTTTACCTGTGCAATGAGAATGATGAACTAGATGACTTCTAAAGTCCTTTTCATTTCTAAGGCAAAGGTTCTATGACTCCAAATGGTTTAATATTTATAATAATGATTTAAGAATGTATTTATTTCATGTTTTAAAAAGGAAGTAAAAGTTACTCCACTGAATGGGATTTCAGCCATAGGTGCCCAACGTGACCTTTATAAAGGCCCAAAATATCTAAGGAAGAAGTGTCACCACCCAGCGACACTTATCTAGAACTTCAGACACAAGGTTCATGGGTCATAACAAGGATTTGAGGGATGTTCTTGGCAGATTCAACACACTTCATGACAATTGTCATGGGGCACACAGAAAATAAAATGACAATGTTTCTGGCCTTGAGGTACTTAAAATTTTGTTGGGGAGACAATACAAAGATGCATGAAACAATAAACACAAGACAGCACAATGAGAATTACACTGAATAATTCATCCTCTGAATAACACAAGCACTAATTATCATAGGTTAGGAAACTAGGGGTTTGTCATTATGTAGGCCTCAATATAAAAGATATGAAAGGGAAACCATGGAAGGGAAGGAAGGAAGGAAGAAAAAAGGCATTTATTAAGCACCTACTATGTTCCAAGTACTGTACTAAACTCTTTGCAAATACTATCTCATTTGGTCCTCACCACAACCTTATAAGGTAAATGCTGTTATTCTCCCCATTTTACAGTTGAACAAACTGAAACAGACCAATATTAAGTGACCTGCCCAGGATCACATAGCTAGTAAGTTTAGATTTGAGCTCAGGTTAACAAAAGACAATAAACTGGATGATTTTCAAATTGTAGTTCACAGAATCTATCACCAATCAAACCCAAATCACCATCCAATTTTCTCTAAAGGAGAGAGAACTTATTGGGCTATTTCCATTATTCCCCTACAGATTTCTGATGGGTATTGTAACAAGCCTGTGAGTAGTAGCATTGTCACTTCTCTAAAGGAAATACAATATAAGAAAGTGCTTTGAGAGAGTATAAAATTGTTAATAATAATTTGATACTTCATTGATCTATGGTTTCATCATTCTAATTTCAGATTGCAACCTAACTCCGCCTAATCATCTTGTTCAATTTCTGTCAATGCCCTACCATAAAGCAACCATGGACAGTCCACTTAATGTGCTGGGAGAATTCCTTAAGCTCTCTGGAAACTGTGTGAATTTCCAGGTATCTTTTCAGCGATCTATTAGTTATCATCACTAATACCATATTCCTGACTCATATTTTTGTTATAATAAATTTCTCTGATTAGATCTTTGATACTGTTTGACATTTAAATATTTGGTCAGGAGTTGAAAAGTATTATATATATATATATATATATATATGTGCATGTCTTTTTAAGAACACAAACAGTTAAGCAAACAGCAAAGGAGACAGAGAAGGAGTGGTCAGATAGTTAGGAAAACCAGGAGGGAGAGTGGTATCCCAAAAACCTAGAGAGAAGATTGTATCAAGGAGGAGAGAATGATCAGCAGTGTCAAAGGCTGCAGAGAGCTCAAGGAGAATGAGGGTTGAAAAAAGGCTATTAGATTTGGCAACTAAGGGATCATTAGTAACTTTGGATAGAATAATTTTGGTGGAATTTGTTGGAATCTGGTCAGAAACTAGATGATAAAGGGTTAAGAGATTGAGAGAAAAGAAAATGGTAGTACCTATTGTACACCTCCTTTTTGTGTAGTTGAGTTTCCAAGGGCTAGTGGTATCAAAGACAGAACTTGAACCTAGATCTTGCTGTCTCTAAACCCAACATACTATCAACTATGCCATACTTTTTTTTTCAAAATACACACATATATAAACACACACATATATTTATGTATGTATCATATAGTGAAAACTCAATTGTAACATATTTTTTAGACAGTTGCTTAGGGCACTCAAAAACAAACTGATTTACCAATAGTCACAAAGCTAGTGTGTGTCAGAGACCAAACCGGAACCCAAGCCTTCCTGATGCCAACAACAGCCCTCTTTCTCCAACAGCACAGTCTCTCATATATCCACAACATTATTCCCTCCCTTTACCCTTGCTGCTCTCTGGTACAGGTTCAAGGGAAGGAGGAGTGAGCCCAGAGAGAGTGACACATATTAGTTACCATAGTTATTTTTTTTTTGAACACCACAAACTAAGGCTCTTATCCTTTGAAGTTTTTACAGTATTCACAGATGAGATGACAGCTTGAATGATTAACGCCATCTTTTGGTGGACTCAGATCCCAGCCTTGTCTTCAAATCAATCAGGAGCCCCAGTGCCTGTGCCAAGGTATAGTGATTGCCATGTTTGTGCTCACAAGGATAATAATACCACCTGAATCGGATATGCTTTATAGGATTGCTATTTTGAATGTAAGAGCTAATAGTAGTGTCACTGAGGATAACTATGGTAACATCACTTCACTAAATCATTATAGAAGGATGATAAGAAAATAAAATATGATGAATGAAAGTTTCTTTTAAAGTTCATTTATATAGTGTATGTAAAGTAACTTTTAAAATAAAATCTTTGTTAAAGATGTTTTTATTTTCCCCTTCGTAGAACAGATTCACTGAATGACGGAATTCCAGAACTGAAAAGAACCTCAACAGCTCTGTAGTTATAACACCAGAAAAGGAATCCACTTGACCATTATACCTGACAAATGCTCCTCCAGCCTAGGTTGCCCACCTCCAGGCATAAGGACTCCACTCCCTCACAGTATAACCCATTGAACTTTTGGATAGTTCTAATCTTACATTAAGACTAAATCTGCCTATTTGCAAACGCTATCCTCTACTCCTAATCATGCTTTATGGGACCAGTCAGAACCTTCCCACTTCATAGGGTCTAAGAATACAATCACAGTCCTTAATTTTCAGTCAGTTCTTATAATTTGGCCTCGTGGGGCAAAAATGATCATTTAACTTGGTGTTACT